TTGGTATTGGTATTTAGCCTTGAGGCAAGTTACATGAACTTTCCGATATGTGTTAATAACCGACGTAATCAATAAAAAATAAATTAATTTATGAGTGGATTTATTACACATAATTGAAAACGAACGAACATGTTAACTCGGAGTATTTTCTAAAAGCACATTTTCCCAAATCAATAATTTTTAAAATTGAACCAGTTTCCGTAGGACTTTAACGATTTAGTATATTTATTAAGACCAGGTACTCTATCATTATACCAAGTAAATCATCTAATTTTAATTTTAACAAACGTCAAAAAACAACTCATTTTCTCAAACTTTGATGAATTTTTAAAATTAAACTACTTGTCGTAAGGCTGTAATATTTCAATAAGTTCTATAAGACCATGATATACAATATCTTTCGAACAGTTTTTGATTTTTTAAATCGATTCGGTAGAATGAGCTTAAATGTGGATGAAAAGTTTAACACTCTTTTTCAAATTACAAAGAAACGGCTCGGCAAATCGCCTCACAAAACTGACAAACTATAGTGCTCCTTGAGATACATTGAATGGTTTTTAAATTTCTGAAATCCGTACGTCGATCAAAGGTCTAATTTTGACAAATGCCAAAAGAACGATACTAATTTTTGCAAACTTTGATGAATTTTTAAAGCTAAACGAGTTGTCGTATGGCTGTAATATTTTAGTATGATCTAGAAGACTATGGTATCTACCGTCAAAAAATCGATCTTTACCAAAAACTAATCAGCACGATTCCTAACCAATATCTTTCGAACGGTTTTTGAATTTTCAAAATCGATTAAGAATTGCGGGCTAAAACGTGGACGAAAAATTTTTCAATTTTCTGCGATTTACAAAGAAATGGCTCGGCCGATCGTCACACAAAACTCAGGAACGCTAGTCCTCATCGAAATACATCGAATGGCTTTTAAATTTTTGAAATCGGTCCAACCGTTTTTGAGAAAACGTCGATTTACGGCAAAAAAATCTGTTCACACACACGCACACACACATACTTTTTTCAAATTCGGTCTCATTCGATTCAGGATGGCTTGAAACGTCGAGAAAACATAAAAGTAGCGAATCGGATTTTTTGATGAAAACATAAACTTCTCCTTCGGGAAGTTAATAAGAAATATTATTTAAAATTGACAATGTTCTGACGAAGGCATGTATGTAATAAAATAACAGGAGCTCTACTCTAAAGCGGGTCCGTGATCGAATCAGGAAAGTGTGAAAGATGTCCCTACTTAACAAAACATCAATTGGGAATTCAATTTCAATAGGGAATTACCAGACCAGAATGAGAATTAATCAAGAGAAGATATATAGCATGCCATCAAGATAATGCAAGACAAAAGTATCATTGCTCAAAAATTTGTACGGAATGCCATAGAACGCCCACCTTATACTCCATAATTCGAACATATGGTTATTTATTTGATTCTGTATAGCACAATTTTTAGACCAATAATTCGTAATTCAATCTTAATGGAAAAGACCAGAAGTAATCGACAGAAAATGTGTAGTATTTGACCAAAATAATGCAAGATTTAAGTATATAATGGTTCGCCAAGTGGTTAAACGGAATGCCATGGACCACCCACCTTAGAATTGGAACGTATGGATAATTATTTGTTCCTGCAATGCGTAATTTTCGAGGAAATAAAACTTGCATTAAATGAGGAGCCAAAAATCACCTCAATCAGATCCTTGATATCATAGACAAACATTAGTATGAGCATGATGATTCTAGATCCGAATGAACCCGATTTCTAATTTTATAATACTTTTGTTCATTACATGAAAAGTATCTTACGTTACACAATAATAAGATATCAAATATGTGTATATGTCAATTAATGCATATAAAATTTAATAGGTGATTATTTTTAGTATCGAATATTTCAACATTGAATTAATTTCTATAAAGTTGGAGCGTTAACTCATAAGAGACCAATTATATTTCATTACATTGTTCATTTAAAAACTCATACAAAATAATTATTATAATTGAAACCACTGTCGTTCAACCGCATCAAACAAAAATTAGATAATATAAATTTGTTGATTTTTCTTCAATAATAACGAACACTAATTATGCGAAACATAAATTATGGAAACAACGAATGTACTTTTTGGAAAAGATTGCAATAAAAGAATTTTTCATAGAGAACATTTATCATAGAGAATTTATCATAGAGAACAAAGAGAAATGTAGTTTTCAAATACATATTTAGGAAATATACAACACGTAAGGTGATAGATACTTTTTATAATATGAATGCAGCATCAATTATATTTCTTACCTCCATAAAGAAAATTTGTTATGAAGAAACATAGAAAACATGATGTTATTATATGGAAAGCTTCTCATAATTTTATATATATATATATATATATATATATATATATATATATATTATAAATATCATATATTTGTTTTCGGTATTTGTACATAATTTTACATTCAAATTTATTTCGCCTATGATTTCATAAAGACAACTCATATATAGTTTTCTCATACTATTAGGGCTAAATGCGCAAAAACAAATAAGTCATCGCGTACAAAATGACATAAACACGATAAAAGACATAAACATAACAAAAATAAGCAAATATATCATTTTATATACAATTTTAATCTTTCTGGTTGAAAAAGTAGGTCGCCCTTATAATGGGTGATAGTTGACCTATTTTAATGCACCCCTTAAATTTTTATAAAAATGGATTAAGCTACAGCATTGCAATTTTGAAAAACAATTTTTGTCAATCTTTATTATTATGAAAATTATTTTTTGACTTACTTTTAATAGATCCAGATTATAAATCACTCATTTAACGAATGTTTTTTTTTTGCACAAGTCATAGAAATGCTCCAATAACAACAATTCAAAAAAATAAATCTTTGTTCATTATAATTACTTTATGTCTAAACTTAAATTAATAATTAATTGAGATAATGTAGAAATTGATTGAACACAGTTAACACACCCAACATCTCAGCCGCCATTGTTATTTATCAACTGGAGTGTCAGTGTTAGTAGCCTGCTAGTAGGGTTTCAGGGTCGGTGTAAAATTCAGCACTATGCATGCTTTAACAGTGCTTGAAATGAAATCGTTGTCAATATAATATTTAAAAATGTTATTAAAATTCAATCAAAACTATTCTGAATTATTCGGTAAATTACGATAAGAACACATTTATTTTAATTCGTATAAAAATCTTTACAATGAAAAAAATTTCACATGGGATAAATATACTCTTCTTTTATCTATGGGATAAATAATGCTTGTAACTAGTGGGGTGTATGGCATCGTGCCTTAAGGCAAATTGCTGGAACTTCCCGTACCGTAATGAAATGTTCGAGGAATACTGAATGTTTTCAAATAGATTATTATTAATATTGTAACATTGTCTAATATTTATAAGAATTATATAAACTGAATTGCAAAGCTGAAATTATTTGTTTAAAGTATATTAGAACTATAGTCAAAATTAAAAATACAATCTGAATCATTTTTGATATACAAAAAAATTTTTTTTTGAAAAAAAAACTTGAAACAAAAATTTTTTTTCCAGAATCAATTATTTTGTTAAGACAAGCAGAAAGTTCTTTGAATCATTTAAATCGGACGCTTAGTTCTCTCAAAAATTGCCATTTTTACACATTTAGCTCCGTATCTTCGAAATGCCTGGGCCCAAAAACTAATAAACACTTCTCCTAATCTTTACTAATTGGGCAAGCCTTAGGTGAGCGGTTAAGAGCGATGAGACTTATTTCAAAGGTCCCGGTTCGATACTCACTTCGAACAGCCTGTTGTCATACAGCAGTGACAACGATTTTCACTTGGAAATATAGATAGCACATAGATAAAAGAAGAGTATAGCAATATGTTTCCAAGTGAAAATAGCCCTCAGCCGGCATTGCTGCACCAATAAAAAGGTCAGCCCATAAATAAAAGAAGAGTATGGCTCAGCCCTATTAGAATAATTCTAATAACAAAATCATCAAATATGGATGGATTAACCATCTAAAAAATACGAAGTAAGGAGAAGTTTCAGCCCAACAGCTCATAGGACGTAAGGACGTAAGGTTCTGATTGCTGTTAAAAAAATATTTAAAAAAAATCTTTACTAATTGAATGTTTTAGATCATTCAAATCGGATGCCCCGTTCTCTCAAAAACTCGATTTCTATTTTCTGCACTCTTTGCTCTTTATCTCCGTAACTGCTGGTTTTGCCTTTGCTAAAAACAAATCAGCTCATCTCCCTGACAATAGGAATCGAATGTTTTTTAAACCATTCAAATGGGTTGATATTCTTCTTTTATCTATGGGTTGATCCGTGCGCCCGAAAACGTGACTGGAAATTTGTATCCATACATACATATACACACACACATCCATTTTTTTGAGGTATGCCAAAATGTTCAGAAACCTTCAAAATGTCGAGAAATGTAAAAATTTTCATTTTCGATTTTCGGCCCATTACAATAACTTACCCTACGGGAAGTTAATAACGGAAATGATGGCAAAGTTATTTTAATGTTTCCATAAGGCAAAACTGTTGTTTTTATATCGTATTCGCATTTACTCATATATTATATATTATAAATGCATATCGGATAACAAATTATTATTTTTTAGTTATAATTTTAAGCAATCGAATCACGTGAAATGCAATTCTTTTTGTTTACAAAGAGCTGTCACTTATGCTCCAGTGGTTGTCTGGTCCTGAACGTACCCTGCACAAAATTCATCATGATAGATTAATATATAACTAAATTGATAAAATGACCAACTCTTCAAATTGAAATACCTATATTTGATAAAATTGTATGAATACAATTAAGTTTCATTACTTTTCATTTAATAAAACTTATGTCAACCTTTAACATTACTCCCTCTGTAGCTGAGAGAACAAACCTTCTAGCAAGAGAACTAGAGCAATATGAAGACATATTGTTAGTGAAATTGATTTTTGGAGCTAGCAAAATGGCTAAAGTGGAGACTTTTATAAAATTATATGCAGTGCTAATAGTGTTTTTAATAAGGACATAGCATTAATTTAATGATTTTCAATTATCAAGCTTTAAAAAAAATGGGCATAATGAGTGATGAGTGAAAAAAGTGACCACGTTTGAGGTTAACAATTATGTCAAGTATTGATAAAAATATTATGTGTCGAATTGAAGTTTTGTGAAATTCATGCTTATTTTATATAAGCAAATTCTATCGTAGGTGAGGAATAATAATTTGAAATTAAATATAGCTACACGACATATATGTATATATATATATATATATATATATATATATATGTGTGTTTTTTTTTCGAACAATTGATCCAATAAATAAAAAACAATTAGCTTGTTGAAGATGTTTAATTACGACGTTTCGGAACTAGATACGTTCCATCACCAGGTTTTTCTGTCAAAGAAATTATAAAGAAATGGATTATGTACCAGAAGAAAGTAAAGAACGAAAGATATGTAGAAAAGTATAAAGTTGAGAAGAAAAAATTATTTACCTGCAATTATATATGTATATATATATATATATATATATAGATATATGCAATTATATATGACCACAATTTTTTTTTATATTATTACAGAAACACATTTGAATTACATTGTGCTATAATGTATTGCAATACTTTGCAAATGGCTCCCACCCAAGAGCGTTGTCCGGTTTGCCGGTTATATCTGCTTCCAGATATGCTCTTGTCTGAGCATTTAGATACTCACCCAAAAGATCAAGTGATTCTAGCATTAACGAATTTAGTAGAGAGGCAGAGGAGTTCTAGTAATTCTTCACCATGGATAACAGTAACAAAACCTTCTTCGACCGTAATAAATAGTTCACAGTCTTCAGAAAACATTAGATTAGATTGGGCTGATAACAGTATCAGAGCTCCTAATTGGCCAAAAGTCCAAGAGGAATCTTGGGTGGGTAATAGATCATCAGTTCTAGCCTCTTCATCTAGAACAGCTTATTGGCAATCACATCAGAGTACGGAGTATGGAAGTGAATCAAGATTTAATACTCCTTCCTTTAATTATTCATATACAAAGCGTGATTCTCATCAATTAATAAGACCTGTGACAAGAAAACATGAAAATATACAGAAAAATTCCACTACAATTCCTGTTATTCAAAGAATTGAGCATTCAAACAACGATGTTAGACCATTGCCTAGTCCTACAAGTAATTACAAGTATAATGATTATTCAGAACATCAAGGTGTTTATGATAGGCTCAATACAATGGAACAGAATGACAACTTAGTTGATAATCAAGGATGCACTAGTGAAAAATCTTTTAATATTGAAACTGTTGAAATTGATGTGCCAAGTGTGGTTTGCATGAATAATGAAATTAGTCGTTTACAGTCAATTAATATAAGTTCTGACAAAGCTTTGAGAAGAGATGTTATCATCCAACCTGTTAGATCTAGGATCCCAGCTGTGGATACGACACCAATTATAGATTCACTCCTTTCCAGTACTGAAATACATAATGCTCATAGTTCCAATACCAAAAACAATCAGACCGATTATTTATCTAAAGAAAATCAAACAAAGTCTTTAAAACATTCTAAGGAAGAAATAATATGTAAACAGAATATAGAAATTATAAGTCATTCTGTAGTAAGTAATCCCAAATCCTTCAAGAACACAGATGTGTCATCTTTAATAGTCAAACAGAAAAATGAAGAATTAAATGGTTTGCATGAAATAAGCACATATGAAAATAGTAATTTAATCAACAATAATGAAAATTTACAAGGTTGGAAAGAATTCAGTCAGGGAGATTCTGACGAAAAACTCTTATACAGCGATGAATTAGATGATGAAAAATCATTTGAAACAAATTCAGAATCTGTTTATGATTCCGATCATAGAAAAACGATGTTTTCACCTAATTTAGTCATCATAAATTTAGAGACAAATAATGAAAAACTAGATTCACCTGAGAAACTATTGGATATAGATATTTGTCAACCAAATTTAAGAAGTGGACCAGTTTATGTAAAGCCTAAAAATGATAAAGAAGACAAACAGACTGACAAATATAAGAAAATAAATTGCACTGAAATAGAGTCTTATCCTGATCAAAGCAATTTTGATCATAGCAACATGCCTACAGAAGAGTTTTCATCTCATTGTGGATCTAAAATAAATACTTCTGACAATTTAAAACAAAATTTAGATTGCAGTTTATCATCAGAAAGCTTAAATATTCGAACTGATGAAAAAATGCCTGCCAGAGGAGAATTAAGTGAACAAGAATCCACCGATAGCTCTTCATGGGTGAGTGTTGTTTTACTAAAATTATTAGATTGTAGTATGTTATGATTTTTTTTTAATTAAGAAGCAAAATCTTGAGAAATAATTTTGAAACTGGTATCAATTTTATAAAGAGCAGCAAAATCCTTATTTTCAATAACTTTATTTTGTTGGGCTCAATACTTCAGATTTAGTTCTTTGATAAAAATCTAAATTATTATACTATTCTTTCAATAATAAGAAACTTTAACATTATTAGGATACAATAAATTCCCAATTATTTGTATAATTTATGATTAACAATAATAATTGTTTTTTTGGTAAAGATGTGAATGATTTTGTAAAGATTTTTATATTCATAATGCATATTGTTATTGTTACTGAAAGTACATACAAATAACTAACATTATATCACAGGCTTACCAGAATGCTTGCAGTTCATTCCCTCTTAATTTGCCTGTGGATGAAAATGAGCTGAATCTGTCCCAGTATTTATCACCGTAAGTGTGTGTGAAATAACACTATTTAGAATCAGATTCGCATGTACATTTCATAAATTTATATGCATATACATTATTTCATATTTTTTTGTTTCAGAATGTTGGAGCCGTCATCTAGTTGCTCCTTAGTAAATCATATTGATGGAAGTAGATCTTCTAAATCAAATTCAACAATTAAGCAACTAAATATATTCAAATGTCCTCATTGCACAGATGAGTTTGTTTGCGCCAAGGAAAGACGAGTACATATCAGCAGATGTCATCCAACACAAACTACACACACTTTTGAACACAATGAATCTTTAAGAAATTCATTTGAATTCTCAGAGGATTATTATACACATAACTCTAGTAACCATAATGATCAAAATAATATTAGTAATATAGAGCATGTAGAAGTTGATTGTCAGACCAAATGTGATAATTTTAATAGTTCACTTCTAGTGTCAAGTATGAATATAATTAATAACACTGATGCTATTTTAGAACCTTTAGAAGATATGCATATTGAAATGAAAAATACTGATATAAAAACTGATTTTAATTCATTCAATCTAAATCAGCAAGATACGTTTACTGATACAAATATAAAAATGGAAAGTAATATTTCTGGACAGAGTACCTCGAAAAAAATTGTAAAAAGAACTGTTATAAGAAAAAGGATTACTGCTTTTACATACACTTGTATTATTTGCCAGGAAGAGTTTAAAACAACCAACTCTTTTAATAAGCATCTAGAAATCCATCCATTAGAATGTCGTTTATGTGCAAAATTATTCACCAAAAAGAAAACTTTTGATGATCACGAAGCTACACATGTAGGTTTTAAGAAATATGCATGTACTAAATGTCCAAGACGTTTCCATTCTGATGAGAAATTGAAAAAACATGAATGTAAGAGTACTTCTTCTAAGATTTTTAAATGTACTGCATGCGATGCAAGATTTCAGGGTCGTAAAGCATTAGTTCAACATAAAATTTCAATGCACAAGTTTAAGCCTCCAGAAAAAATATATTTTTGTCACTGTGGTGAAAATTTTCCATCATTTGCTAAACTTTTCTACCACAAAGAGACTCATGATACAAAACCAAAAAACTGTAAATACTGTACTCAAAAGTTCATTCACATAATTTCATTAAACAGACATATACGTACTGCTCATAATGATAAAACTATAGAAAATTCAGAAAAGTGCCAAATTTGTAATAAGAGTCTTTCGAAGCACTCTATCAGGAGTCACATGAAAATACATACAGGCAATAATATATATAATTGTTTTATATGCAATAAAAACTTTAGCACAAAATGGAATTTGAAGCAACATAAATATGTTCATCAAAATCGTAGTACCAAACCACATAAATGTCAACTTTGTCCAAGTGCTTTCATTCGTTTACAAGATTATAAATACCACATGAACTCACATAAGAAAGTATATTCTTTTGTCTGCAATCAATGTGGAAGAAGATTTATTAGAAAGTATAATTATTTGCGTCATGTGAAGGAACATGAACAAGAAAAAAAATATCAATGTACTATTACTGGGTGTACAAAAGTTTTTCACAGAAAATATTATTTAACCGAACATATGAGAACGCACACAGGAACCAGACCTTTTGTTTGTACCATATGTTCCAAAACTTCATCAACAAAGTCTAATCATAATAAACATTTGAAAATACATCATGCGAATACTAGGGATTCAATCAATGTAGAAAATTAGGAAATTATAAATTTGTACAATAAATTTTTTATATCATATAATTCTGTCTAATGAGTGTGTTTGTATTCAAAATCACAACACATCTCATTATATTAAGAATAGAAATAGATTACTAATATTATGAAAGTTAAAAAAATGTGTGAATGTAATGAATTGGGTGATGATTAAATTTTCATGCTGGTTATGGAGTGATTCTATGATGAAATATTGTCAATTTCGTCTATTTCTATTTATAGTTTTTAAATATTTTATGCAACATAACTTATAATAGTGATATGTAATTATAGATATATATAGAAATTTATAGAGCTATATCTAATCATATTATAAGAAACTTTATTTTATTTATTTTCCTTATATTCTTATTAGAAATGTCATTTTTTTTATTTTAATAGCATGACTGTAAATAATCAAATAGAGTTTAGACATTTTGCAAAAGATATGGATATGGTTTTATATATAATTTCTAAAATATCTGA